GCAAGTTCGTGAGTATTCCAAGAGTATGCTGTTTCCGCGAGTGCGACGAATATAATACAGGTTGAAATGTGCTCACCATAAGGACCTTCTCATTCCCCCGAGAGGCGCTTCCCCTGAATCCGGGTTAACTCTGGCGACGTAGAGCGAGCAACAACACTAGGTGTGACCCATAGGCATGGGTGTAAGGAGGTCAGCCATCTCGGCAAAACACTCTTCTTCAGGTAAGGAAGCACTTGAAGCCGTATGGAACAATGAGGTGAGCCACGAGGCAACAAACTATTGATGACGCAAGCACATTGGGTTCAAGTCCGTATCGAGTGGCGTCACTGGCTAGTGTCTCACTAGTATTCCTGGTAGTTTCACATGCTTCTTGTGTATCCAACGATCGGACGAGACGCCGATCGCAATCAATCCACCTCGCTGGCTTGCTGATATGCTATCAATTGGCGGTCACTGATGACATTTGCGAGGCGGACTGTTGCCGAATTTCCCCCGTCGTGCCGGCCGTACTTGGAAGAACGCTAGCGACTCTTAAATGAACCAAAGGAATCCACGAGTGCGCAGTGCGTGGCAGTTCCGGGTTTCATCGTTCGGGTAAGTTCTACACCTGGATGCTTAGCGGTGAACAAGGCGTTTCGCAACAGGAATCAAACGGGTGAGAACTAAATATTGGTTTCATGCGTGAGACTACAAGAAAATGAGATTTGATAAACAAATGTATGCCGCGAAAACGGCGCAGTGGGAAGTTTATGGGGGCATATTTCATGGATAATGCCCCTTCCACGGTATAAATACAGTATGCAGGAAGAGTACAGTGCGTTATATCCCCTTGACGGAATTGAACCTGTGCTGAGTGGCTCGTTAGTCCGCTGCTCTGCTCCGTGCCGATTGGGGCTCGAGGAGCCGGTTCAAGCCATCACTGGCTGCACACGCACTGGTGTCCTTGCCTGCTATTTTCGAGTTACTCAACGGTTCGGAAGTCTAGCGGTGAGATGATGAGACCATGTGGGAGTGCGGGGTTCGTGACACAAGGCTTACCGAACCGATTCTCCATCGGTGGAAATCCAATTACGAGGATTTCGTCATCCTGAGCATCCAAGTCAGTCGTTGCCCCTCCAGTGGTAGTCATCAAGTAGAAAACGTACGTTGGACGCATCAACAGTTGCCGGAACGGGAGAATCATCATTGAGGGCAACATCCTCACTTTGTGGTAATATTGGACTGAGGGCTATGCCCTCATCAACACTTCCCCACGATGTGATCCGGAGAGCCAATATCAAAAACGATAAATAATGTGCCTTCACAGAAAACATCAGATTTCCGCGCATATTAAGATCAAACGTAAAGGAAAACTAACTGGCCCCGATAAAACCGACGTCAAATCCATGACAAGTGGATTGGGCTAGCGGCAAAGGATGAAAATAAACTGGTCCGCGAGCTCTCATCAGAGGATGTCTCTCACCCAAAAGAGGAGAAGGAATCCTCTTGGAAGTTGTACTGGGAGAACGAGGAGGAAAGCAAGAATCTTGAGAGTTGTTGTTGTTTAATACAATGTGGCGTTGGACAAGTATGAGCCTTTACATACACAACGTTTCCTCCATTTGAATGATACCTGCCTAAGCATGTCATCACAAAATGATTCTCGCAGCCCTCTGCTGAGAATTCGACGTTGTTCTACATGCCATAGGCCGATAAGACTCGTTGTGAAACCCAGGACCAAGCAGATGGTGTTTGCAAACATGGCCGTCGCCAGTATGCGATTTCGAAAGAGACCGTGTGATCTGATGGGGGGAAACGGAAACTGCAGTATAAGATTGCCACGATAAGCAAAAGCAGCAAGAACTTACGGCCCCTGCTCCACTAAAATTTCTCCGTAAATTGATAGTGCTGTTGAGGATGTTAAGCGAAGGAAACGTGTGAGACACAATAGCGCTCACCGGACTCAGCTGCACAGAGAAAAATTGTGATCACCCAACAGAACAGCAAAATTGGGCGCATTATTCGCCGGCAGCTGAAGCATTCACAGGCCAACCGTAGGGCTCTGACCATCGATGGCATTAGACTCTAGAATGGTTGATGGAATGGTGAAAACCTTGCCTGAAGCTCAGGAATACTGAAGGTAATCAGAATGGGAACACAGTCAATTGTCAGAATTGCACTACTCACAGTGAAACACGCTGATAATCGGAACAGAGACTAGATGGTGGCAACTTCGTAATATCTTTTCAGTCGCTTCATTGATCGGATTGCCTAGAACATAGGTCAAGATGGTGATTGAAAACCTCAATATTCTGGTACAACAGCATACTAACAAGAACTGATGTACTGGAACAGGAGGAGAATCCCAGTGACTATGGTGTGAGAATGAATGAATATTAACTGGCGTGATTCTGGTCTTTGCACTCACCGAGTTGCATGGAATGTAGCGGCACAAGTATAATAGATAATATAAACATGCCCCGCAGGGAGGGACGATGCTTTGAAGAGAACCACATCGCCCCCAGCAGGGCTGATGAGGCACTAAATATAGAAGTAACGAGCACAACCCCTGCGATGCAGAGTGTCATTCTAAAAACGTGCACATCAAATCAATTGATCATCGTATTTGAACGCGTATGACACACCGGAGCGCCGTAAATGTCATCAGGAAGGGTATATCTCACTCAGGAAAGTGGAGGGGGAGCAGCAAGAATGAACCGGCAGGACAAACGCGGTGAGCAGAGTGTTGAGTCCTCGGATGCAAATTCTCGTAAGTCAAGCCATCCTTCGGCGAGCTAACTACGAGTGGCTAGGTCGACATCCTTCCCAACTCATTGTACAATTTCTTCTTTTTCACCGCACTGGCACGCGGCGTGTGGCATGCTGCTCAGATGGGTTTAATTGCGCGGATCACAAACGCCAGGATGGTTATTTCTGCCACTGGATAATCCGGGAAAAATCGGGACTGGGCGTTCCAAGTCTGTGAAGTAAAGGGATTACGCGAGAACAAACGGGATTCGCTTTGCCGAAATGCCTTCGTTTGTTGAATTTCCTCCGCCGATGAAGCTGTGGTAGAGCGGGAGTTCATATCAGGCTGTCTGTAGGTCTCCCATCAACGGTCACGGAAAAGCGGTATTCATGAGCCCAAAGATGTGATGTTGAATAGGAGAATCGATGAAAACATTCACAAGGTATGTATTTCCTCCATCGTTTAGTATTTGGATTGATACCCTCAAGATTTCGTGTGCGTTTCAGCGCGTATCGTCAGGCATCGGTGTGCTCGGAGAAATCAAGGTTCGCGTTAATGTACATCTCGAACAACGTCAGCTGAAGAGGTAAGTAGACGCAATGCCGACTTCGAGGCGCCACCCACAAGAAGATGCTGCTAACTCTTAGTTTGTTGGCAAGATTCAGACATCGACAGCGTTAGAGGGCGATCCAATCCTCGGCCGAAGGCGCGCAATCTGGCTCTGATTGATCCTACCATCAATTATGGTGAGTAGGTGATGTGGCCAAACAGTACGGTGATAACATTGGAGTCTGGACTTGATACTACAATGGGCGACAGAGATCGGTACAGACGTCTAATATGCGGGATGGAAACAGTATACGGGAATGACTCGAGAGAGGTTGTGGCTAAGAAGGACACTGAGCGCTGTTGAACAATCAGGCTAAGTAATTCGACACATCGGCTCGATGATCCCAACGTTTCAAGCCGGAGTAGGGAAAACTCAGCCTACATAGCCAGGACATCGAGGTTTCTGGAGTTCCATGGTGCATACAGTATGAGCTGCTGCAATTGGTCCGTTCGGGATGCGCGTAGTTTAGGCCGGATTGCCAGCGGATGTTTAGTCTAGGGGAGGGCCACCACTTCAAAACAAACAGATAAGTCATTGGCAATATTTTGAATGTGAAGCGAGCTTTCTCTCATCATTCTAACTGACAGGACCTTTAAAATCCGCAGAGCTAATCAGGCATGACAGAACAGTTACTACCCGTCGCACGGCATTCGGCGAATGCCGTCTTTCAGATTTTGTTCCTAATCCATCAGCGTGCGGCCACCCCTTGTGCCTTGCTGGCACGCATCCTTGCAGTCGTTTCGCTGGGCTGCTCATGGCTCTTGCTGTCGAATCTTCGTTGTTGTTGCACAACACTGTGTCCTCTTGCCTAACAGATCAACATCCTCTAAACTTGCGTCGGCATTTTAATTTTTATCACATGAACGCTTGTCAGAAGGTCTTCGGTGCAGTTCCACACTGATGCATGCCGCATGCTTGTATGAAAAATTTCGTTGGATCGAACGATGCATGTGCAGCACTACTGATGCACCACTTAAACTTGCTCACCTTGGTGATTCTCCCAGTCCGAGACTTCGATTTTGAGCTCATACGTTAACCACACTGGATTCTGCCTTCTGCGTCTTGCGGCTTGGTGCTCTAATTATGTGTCCTTTTCCCCGTCTAGTTGGATGTGATTGGATGTCGCCATTCAGTTTACCATGGTCGTTCCTCCACTGGTTAGTCGCTCATTCAGCGTAACGATATACACTGTTTGGTAATGCTTTTCGCTAGCTTATACATACACCCGCGGGATCTATCTTTCTTCGGCCGAGTATGTTTTCTTTAAGTGATGTCACTTCCCCCAAGTGAAACCCAAAGCCGTTCCGGTGTACTATTGAAGCTAGTCCAGAAACGAATGCAAGAATACAATGATACTGTGAGTCATGCCAAAAGCGTGAGAGCATGGGCGCTTGCAGGCACCATGCGTTACTAATGCAAGGCTGTATGAAGCTGCTGTCAACGAGGTGCTAATGCCTTTCAAGCAGCCTATCTAACCCCCAGATCGTCCTGGGAACACGATACTCCCATTACTCACCACGCTTGTGACACTCCTCTTCGGTTTGAATGAATTTCGCTGGACGGCACGGATCCATGCATGTGTGGCAGCAATGTGGATGCAGTCCAACTGCCAGCCTTCACGTCCGAATTTAACAGTCTTGCCACGGCTAAAGAACATGAAGAATGAAGAGCACTAGAGAAGACAGCTGGAAGGAGCGGGCACTTGAAGCTGTCTATGTCCACTTGCGCATGTACGTGAAGTTTGGTCGGATACTAAGCTCTCATTATGGAGGACATTGACTAGTGAGTTCGCGTCTTACGCGTTTAGCGATCTGTGCTTGAGTGACACGTGTTGCCCGTTAAGTCTGCAAAGAGCAGGACTTCAGAGAAGATCGATCGGGCTCGTCCAGTCCGGCCTCGGAAGGTGGAGAAAGCGAGAAAGGAGAACACATCTGTTCCCCGAAGGCAGTCCTCCAGACTTGCCCATCTGCACGCAAGCCCGGATGATATTCCCATACAAAGGCTGGTCAGTGTCGTCGCACGCTCGCGACTTACTGGAATGACCGCGTCAAGCGCGTGTATTTCTCAACGTCGCTTATCTTTCTTGTAGGAAAAGCTGGAAACAAAGAGGAAACGCGACGAAGAGGAGAGACTTGCCGTGCTAGAGCTCGAACGCGTAGCGAGGCGTCCGCGCCATGGAAATCTGTCTCTGGATGATCTTGTCGGCGACGAGGACGATACAAAGGAATCAATCTCATCATTAAGGGATACTCTCGAAACTCCCTGCAATGACGTGCATTCTGTCGAAACACGACTACGGAACTCCCGCAATATTGCGGAGAGGTCTCAGCTACGGGGCAGCGATCCTGATATCAATGATCTTAGGAAAAGACTTGGAGGCATGGTCGTGCGATCGCGAGCCAAGGTTTCGAGGGAGAGAATTTATTCCATGGCTTACCACCCAGAGAAAACAAAAGATCTCATTTTTGTTGGGGATAAGCATGGCCGGCTTGGTATTTGGGATGCGCTGGCGCCATCCGAAGAGAACGAAGAGGATAAATATGATGATACCCGAGGAGGAAGATATTGGCGTTTACAGCCTCATTGGCCAAGATCTCCAAAGACCTCGATATCTTGCATCAAATTCAGCCCGACCGATGCACATAGTGTGAGTTAAAAGCGCATGTGGATGGGAATCGCTCGGCTTATTCAGTTACATAGGTTTTGACGACATCCTATGATTCCACGCTGCGTGTGACCTCCTTTACATCTGGGCAATCTACTGAGCTTTTTTCTCTTGCCTCAACTTCGACACTTTTCACATCCTTTGATATCGCGCCACGTGGGAATGAAATATGGATTTCCGACGCTGATGGCGGACTAAGCTTTTGGACCTCGGGAAGGCAGCCGATTGCGGAGACAAGTGAACGCTAAATTGAAGATTGATTGTGTCAGCATCAGTCCTGCTGCTGGAAGGAGAAGGAGTCATCTTTTGTGCACCGCGAGCAACGATCTTTCCCTGAAGTAAGCGTCAGCAATGCTGCTAGTGCTTTGGACTTAACTTACGGTAGAATATGGGACGTTCGAAAGCTTATGTTAATTGAAACTGGTGCACTTGTTGAGGGTGATGATGACGGCTCCAGCTCGCTTAAAGTGAAACCGCCTCCCCTAGAAGCAGATCACGAGGCTGTCGCAGATTTCCTTTCATCAAAATCTGGTCGGGGCTGCATCCTCGGGCAGTTTGAGCAGTGTCAGCTCAGCTTTTTGGAGGGAGGAAAATAGTGACAACGTGCTATGATGATAATTTGATTTATTCATATCCGGAGCCACCATTTCTCACTAACCTGCGCGGAATAAGTTTGGAATCTAAATGCTTGGCTCTCAGCCGGGGAGAAATTAAAGTTTCCCCAACCAATACAAAAAGCTCATAACTGTCAAACTGAACGTTGGTTGACGGTGCTGAAAGCTCAGTGGAGTCAGAATCCACTGTTAATTCATACAATATCCCCAGAATGACTGATGTGGAATGTTTTCTAGGTCAGATCGATGGACCATTCATTAGATATCATTGCCTTCAACGGAGAGGAGATCGGGAAGCTCGCCGATCGCTCAAAGTGATGACGTGGTTCTCCGAGTGTGGTTACTCTAACCCATTGTAATTTCTTATTAAACGTGCGCTGGCCATCCGGCCTAAACTAAACGCGACACTGCATCCCGAACGGACCAATCGCAACGGCTCATACTGTATGGGCGATGGAACTCTGGAAGCCTTGATGTCCTGGCTATATAGGTTGAGTTTTCCTACTCCGGCTCGAAACGTTGGGATCATCGAGTCGATGTGCCGAATTAGCCTGATTGTTCAACAGCGCTCAGTGTCCTTCTCAGCCACAACCTCTCTCGATACGTTCCTATTCAGCACTGTACCGATCTCTGTCGCCCCTTGTGGTATCAAGTCCAGATTCCAATGCTATCACCGTACTGTCGGGCCACATCACCTACTCACCATAATTGATGGTAGGATCAATCAGTGCTACATTGCGGGCCTTCGGACATCATTGTATTATTACTTTCTAATGATGGCGACGTCCGAACCCTAGTACCGAGAGTTAGGAGCGACTTCTTGTGGGTGGTGCCTGGAAGTAGGCATTGCGCTGCTCATTGCAGGCCATATTCACGTGGAACCCCACTTTGCCGTCTACTCTTATGTAAATAACCAGTCTCCAAATTTGACAAAGTCTCTTTTCTTGCCGAATAGCCGGATTCCGCCACTTGAATGATGTTCGACTCGATTCGGATATGCGTTATGTAGCGGTGCTTATGACATCATTTCATCCACTCTTGGCCCTTCCTTTTCAGTACTCTCATCTCCTACTATGGGCTCACGCACTACGTACCTTCCCGTTACGTAGCACTCATGATGCTCGTACGAAGGGGAAAGATTGATTGATAACATGTAACCGCGCGGCAGTATAAGTAGCCAAGGTAATAACGAAATACCAGAGAAGGGAATAGTGAACGAGACATGGTACGCGCTGCTATACGTGAAACACTGTAGCGTTGCGTGGAGATAAAGACATGGTAGAAATGGTATACTGTAACGTAATGGGCATATATATACCGGCGCGTCGTCGTGGCATGTCGTCCAACACCACTACTTCATATTAACTCTTGCTCATTACCAGGTCGTACATCAATAGACAATCTTCATTTTTCCATTTTCATTTTTTCAAGCCTTGCAGTCGTGAGCTTCATACGATCCATTATCTTTCCTTGGTTCCGTCCCGCATTTAGGAGATGATGGTGCTGGCGCTAACCGTTGGGTGCCATCTTTCTTTACAACTGGCTTGGCGATCATTGTGTATCGATAACAGTCCTTTGTCGGTTTTACATCAAGTCGAGAGCTGAGTGCGAATTCAGGTCCAGTGCGGCCACATACTGTGCTGGATAGGGAACGCCGCGAATCAGGCTTGGAGTCCCGAGCTAGTTTCCAAGTGCCAATTATAATTAACTAGTGCACGGGTGTGGGACGCCGTGCGGCCACGGTGGTGTTCAAGGTGACGCTACAGCTCTGGAACCAGTGACCGTGGGACATGTAAGAACCGTCACTACTGCTGTGATGCTGTGGACCTTATAAGGCGCTATCTAGAACGTTGGCCCCTAACCAAAAGGGAAAGGAAATTGGTTGCGGAGAACGATTTTAGCCGGACTTGAACAAAAAGGCCTGTATACTTGTCCAGGGCCCGTTTTTTTAATCAACGTGCACAATGCCAGCGCCCGGCCACTTACTGGCATCCTACTAGCATAGCTTATGTGAAAGCTCATGGCTGCGCTCTTGGACCCAGATGGAATGCTCCACTGACGCACATACGTCGCGAACGCGTGCCCTGGCACCGCTTAACCGCCGGCTCTCTGTACGAAGCGAACGCCGTGACCAGTGCCTCGGTATGACGCCCCACAGTCCTTTATCTAATTCTCATTCCTAATCACATTCATCCTGCTTCCAGTTCCAGTCAGCGCTATAATACTGGCTCTCGTGCAGTAGACTTACAGTAATGTCATCATCCGCACCAATTGCCTAGCTAGTCCGGGTCATGCCACCGCTAGAATTCGCCACTGATAGCACTGGATCGACCAAATAGTCAATACATATATCATATCCTTCCGCAAACTTCCATAATCAGACGGACGCCTCGTGGTTCTAGTTCTGGGGCCTTTAGGGGCTTGCACGTGCGTTGCGCGCCCAAGGTCTCTCTCCGCCATCCACTCGGGCGCTATCAACCATGTCGCTGCGGGAAAAGGCTGAAGATCTCAGGAAAACGATCGATAATCTCCTCGTGGTGGGAGTTGACATGGCGGTTCCAATTCTCAGGGTCGTCAATGCTACCGCTGATTGGTGTCCCCCTCTAAAGATGGCGACTGGCGGTGCACTCTCCATCTTCGACGAGGTTAAAGTTGGTATTGATTCAAGCTTGATTATGAATGAAAACTCACGCTAGTTTACCCCACGTAGAAGTTCAAGGAGGACAAGGAGCAATGGATTGGTTTTGGTGAATACGTGGCTAGCGCTACGGCGAAGGTAGTTTCAGCCATAAAGTCTTATGATATGTCAGCGGGGGAGGCAGGGTCATGGGTAGAGGGTGTCGCGGAGCTTGGGAGGTACGTTGTATTGGTTTTGGTGGTTTCCGATATTATACTTATGTCCAGTACCAGCGCGCTACAGGAGATCCAGTCTAAAATCCAACAAAGACTTACAAAATTGGAGGAACGGTCAGCTGTAAGGAATGCACTGTCCCACTATCGAGACCCTGGAAGAATTGAGGGCCTAAAGAAAGATTTTGACAAAGCGTTGGCATTATTTCAGGTAGCTTTCCTCATGGCATTGTCCCCTAATCATTCTAATCTTCGGACGGTGCAGCTTAGGACGAATTTAACAATTGGTGTCAAATTATCGACCATAGAGGACAGCTTAGACCGTCTGGAGGGTACGATTGAAGTTAAAGTGTCGACCATAGAGGGCAGCCTAGACCATATGGAGGGTGCGATTGGCGTCAAATTGTCGACCATGGAGGACAGCTTAGACCGTCTGGAGAGTGACCCAATCCTTGATGATCTCCGATATCCTCAAATCGCCCATCATGATTCAACAGAGGCGTGCCTAGAAGGCACCAGGGTCGATCTCACGGAGCGTATTATGAACTGGTGTCGTAACACCGGGGATAACGAGAACCGGCTGATGCTACTGACCTCCGTCGCTGGCGCTGGAAAGACTTCGATTGTGCACACGATTGCAGATAGATGTAACAGGGAGGCTGTCCTATTGCTATGTTTTTGCTTCAGAGCAGGCGAACAGCCACGGCCGGATTGTTTATTCAGCGGCATTGCACGAGCTCTAGCAAGCCGTGACACAGATTACCGTACCTTCATTATCTCTGCCCTTCGAAAAGACCCCACCCTCTCAACAGCTCCATTCACGATGCAGTTCCAGGAATTGGTGGCTTCACCTCTCCTTCATATGCGTTGGCGTCCAAGCCGTCCTATGGTGGTCATTATCGATGCTTTAGACGAATGTGATGAAGAAGCGTATCAACCCCTTGCTAAGATTCTTTGCGAGGAAGTACCCAAGTTACCGTCTTCCATAAAGTTTTTCGTTACTTCAAGACATGTTGATCTTGTTAATCGGTCCCTCTCACGCCATTTTCCTATCGATCACCTCACCATTGATCTCCTGGATGACACAAATATGCATGATTGTGCTGCATACATCGAATTCCAGCTACAAGAGCTTAAGAAATGGCATCCCGACTTATCGCATAAACTCCAAGACGAAGATAGTGCGGTGCAAGAGATCCGGGAACGAGCAGGTGGTTTGTTCATTTGGATCAGCACCATCTTTCGCTATATGAAGAAGCCTAGGAAGAATCCTATGAGAACACTGGAGAGCCTGCTCGACACCGGGACCAAACGGTCAAAGGTGTCCACTGAGAAGATGATGGACGACCTATATACGAGGATTTTGAAGAAGTTTGATTGGGAGGATGAAGATTTTGCGCACGACTACCCGATTGTGATGGGAGCGATCTTCGTTGCTCAGCAGCCTCTGTCCATCACAGCCTGGGATGCAATTCTATCACCTTTCCTCAATTCTTCTGTTGAATATGCTTTGGCCGAACTTGCACCTCTGCTCTCAGGAGTTGAGGATTCCCACATTCCGGTTCGCATCTTACACCAATTTTTCCGCGATTTTATTGTCGATCGGATCAATCCCCAAACGATCAGCTCTCATTTTACTCCGATAACGGTGGGGGTGGAGAATGCCAGGGTCGCCCTGAGATGTACCGAGATTTTAAACAAGGATCTCTGCTCTGTGAATGGCTTAGGACTGATTGAAAACTTGTCCGAAAAAGATGAAATGCTGCGCATTCCTCCAAAGGAATTATCTGAGCATTTTCGTTATGCATGTCACCACATCGTCCATCACCTCAGTGGAGTCCAAGAACAGCCTGAAGAGCTTGCTGGACCAGTTAGTGTGTTTCTGAGTCAGGAAGCAACTCGGTGGGTGGAAATCTGTGTGCGAATGGAAAACTACATCAGTATCTCGTTACTCCCTGAGTGGGCTAAGGTATGGTTATGGATTGTGTTAAAGAAACTAGCTCATGGTCTTCCAGTTGGCTGTTGACCATAGGGCTGTTAGCACACTGGCTGAAGTGCTTACCCAGCTTCCATGGAACCTGGGATTTTTTTCAAGATTCCAGGAGGCATATGAGGCAGCAAACGATTCTGTTGTACTCTGCCGTTACCTTTTTTCTGTGGACTCAAGTTCCTACACCCCTCCTTTGGCTGAGTCACTCAACAGTCTGTATGTTGCTCTTTCTGGACTCGGACGGCACTCGGAGGCACTCCCATCCATTGAAGAAAGTGTCAAACTCTATCGCCAGCTAGTTGCCATTAACCCAGGGTCATACACCCCGGATTTGGCCATGTCACTCAACAATCTACACAATGCTCTTTCCAATCTCGGACAGCACTCGGAGGCACTCCCATTCATTGAAGAAAGTGTCAAACTCTATTGCCAGCTAGTTGCTGTTAACCCAGGATCATACACCCCGGATTTGGCCATGTCACTCAACAATCTACATAATGCTCTTTCCTATCTCGGATGGCACTCAGAGGCACTACCATTCATCGAAGAATGTGTCAAAATCCGGTGCCAGCTAGTTGTTGTTAACCCAGGAGCATACACCCCCAAATTGGCCAACTCACTCAGCAATCTACATCATACTCTTACCAATCTTGGACATCATTCCGAGGCACAAATGGTCCACATTTAAGGATGTTCTCCTCATCATTATATTCTCCACATTGGTGCTTGCACATGATGGGCAAGTGTCAAAAATCCCAAATGAAGGGGAAAGTGTGTGAGTCCGAATGCAGGCAGGCTCAACTAGAGGGGATCTGAGAGCTTTGGTAGTGGACTGGAGCTTCTCCAGGAAGCCCGGGTCTGCTGGGTGGTATTAGAACACCAACTTTGTTTACATCAGGAAGTTGTGTGGTGGTTATTCGTAGCGGTTATTCTGGGGTGCTATGAGGTGTTGGGGGCATTTTGCCCTTTCTTATTCAACTTAAAACTCCCTTTGTACGATGACGTTGCCACTCAGGAATGTCGTGTATATAAGGGAGGAATTTCTTAGACTTTCTCCCTCAGAACTCTTATTCGAGTCTGAGGTGAGAACTATTTCTCAGTATTTTATCTTATGACTCATGTATAATCCTTGTCGCAGTCTAACGCGACATAGGTATTTACAATATAGAACTCTTATTCGAGTCTGAGTCTAATGTGACATAGTCACTATTCTAATAGGTGGTACAAGAGGCTCTAAGAAGGATGTGGCCTCAGCGACTCGGAGGGAGCGCTGTGCCTCTGTTACATCTCAGTTAGTCCTTATATTTCATGTGTCTGAGGTATCTTGTAGGAAGGGGTCGGGATTCACTCATAGAGGGACTTGGGGTAACTTTTAGTTGAGATTAGAACTGGTGTACAATGGGTTCTAATCTACAAGTATTTATATATGGAGGAAGGGGAAGTGTCATATCCATACAATCCCAACCTCCACTCCGGGCTCCTGGAACTCCGAACTCCGACTTCTGGAGCCCTACTTCCCTTCCATCACCTTCTCCTTGCCGGCTCCCAAGAGGTTATCCCACCTCCGGCTCGGACACCACCTTCGGTCCGACTCCGGAACATTCTGGGTCCGACCCCAACCTTGACACCTTCCAGACGAGTACGCAAAACCTATGCTCCCGACTCCGGACCTCCGCTCCGGTATCCTGTTCATGTCTCGTCTCCGGAACCTCCGGTCTTAGCTCCGACCTCGGACTTTGACCCCACCTCCGCTTATACCCATTGTATTGGTTAGCTCATTCCATTTAATTACCTTTGCCAATATTCCGGAGTTTAACCTCCGAGTTCGGACTTTCCGGACTTACTCCGGACCTTGCAACTATTGCATTGTCCATTTCAATTCCGCTATTCTCCCTCATTCCTATTTGGGCTGCTGCTTCCTTTCTATTCAGTCAGCTAGCCATTCCCGACTCCCATCCTCCTTCCTTCCTTCTTGGGCCTTGGCCCTTCATTCCTCCCTTGGGAAACACCATTGAGTCAAACACTTGACCCTCGGTGTTGTTCCTCTTTCCATCTCCCTTTGTCTCCTTTTGTCCTACCCTTGTTCCTTTTGATTCCGGACCCCTCCTTATATACAATGTACCTAGTAACTTGTAACCTCAGTCCGAAATCGACTTGAATTCCCCCCAAGAGACTTTCCCTCTGCTAGATCCGAAATTAGGGACCCCTAGGACAACCAGCAATGGCACAGCACTCCGCCTGAGTCGCTGAGGCCAAGGTCCTTCCATGCTAAGTCTCCGATTCCATTCTGGAGTCGTCTGAATCCCCGCGTTCTAACAGGAAGGACTTTAGTCAAAGTCTGAGTGATAATGGAAAACACCGAAAGGTGCTGAATGATACTGAAAGGTACTGAAAGGTCCCAAACGATATCCTTAACGGGGAACCGAGGTGTCGGGTCAAGAAGGGCAGAGTAAAAGGCTGGGGGATGAATGGGAACGAGAAATGGGTAAGAGGAAGTTAGCTGACTGAATGGAAAGAAGACAACAGTTGTACTATAAATGGAAGGTGACTAATTTGTGATGACGTGAGTGGGATCACTGGAGGATGCGGGTAGCTCCGAAGGCGGAGTTATGTATCTGAAGGATGTTGGGTGACTCCAATAAATGAAATGGAAGGGGGAATGGTTTAGAGGTATGTCATGGGATGTCAGAGATCCATCAGGAGGTCGGACCAAATCCAGAGTCTCCAAATGTTCCGACTCAGGACCGAGCTTCTGGGATGGGAGTGGCCAAGGTGAGGTGTGCTGCAAACCAGGCCAGAGCTGAGACAGTTGGGGGGGAAGGTGACTTGGGGAGTGGGGAGTTATGGTGTAGGGGATGATGAAGTTGTTAGGAAGGTGTGATGAGGTGGGAGAGCATGGGGTTGGGATTCTGGGATATGACAGCAAGCTTGAATTGGATATTTGACTGGAGAACACCAATAAATCCAACCTTAATTTCTTCGATTGCAAACTATTGGTAAAATATTTACGGGGTTTACTGGCCACAAATCACAAGTGCATCATGGTCTGATAGTTACAATTTTATGATCAAGAATACTTATTTCTTCCTCCCATCACTCATTGCTGATGCTACTGGACTATGTTTCTGCATGTCACCATAAGTGATGACATGCCATTGGGGTCTGGATGGCTGATGATGAATGTTGGTGCAATGGAAAGACAAAATCAGCAGGTCAACACTGTTTGGTGTATCAGGTCAGGGGAATGAAAGTCAAGAACCAGGAAGGGCATGCACAGGTATGTCCAACTCCAACATATAAAACGAGCTCTGACTTGATACTGTTATCTTGATAAGCAGTATGTACACATGCCTGTCGAATCACTGCCAATATTGTGTCTGAATGGTGCATGAAGTTGGAAGTGTGTCAGTTGTGGTGACATCAATGGATGGCAGGCTTGAGCAAATTCAGCACATTCCCTGCATCTCCATGATCCCCTCAAACTAATCATTTCTATTCAAACTACCTACATACCACCAACTTCACAGGCCTGGACCTTCGGCAACCAACTGCCATAACCTGCCAACATCTATGATTGAACCCCAACTGCTAGAATATATCAATCCTATCCTTCAAAGACACCCATCTTGTCCCAACCACTCCTTTTAGGAGAACTATTGCTTTTCTCTGGTCTGATCCATCCATCAAAGCAATTGTTGATGGACAAATCGTCCCTCCCCCACCTCCATCCTCTTCATCATCTGGTCCCCCTCATCACCTCCCTCCATGCCATCGTTCACACTTCATTAGCACCACTTCGGCATATTCAACGTAGGCGGTCAACGTCCTAAGTGTGAACAGTAGATTACTGTTTTGAATCCATCACCTCTATCATCTTTCAGCATAGCCTAATCAGAATAAGATCAACCATTGATGGAGGATCCTGCTCAGGATTGCATCTGTGGTGAATCCAAGGTGGTTCTTTTCAACAAGTATCATCCTTTTTCTGATCAAGGATGTGTCAGGGCATGTCTTCAGGTTGGCAGCGTAAGTAGCACATTACCACATGGCCTGTATTCCCATCAGCTTCTGCTTCTTTTTTGCTTCTTCATCTCCGGTTTGGTCCGGTCTGTGGCTGTCAGTTATGATGCTGCATGACCTTCTATCTTCTTTGATCCGATACCACTGGTTATTAGTTAGTTGACTTGTTACCATCTCTACCGTGTACATAAGACCATGTGCTGGTGAGGGCATGTCCCCCAGCTTTGCTATCAACTAGGTTTCTGGGGCTTCCTTTGTTGCGAGTACACATGACCCTGACAGGATGTGTTTATGGAGAAATTGCGGGGAAGGCTTAATGGAGGGGCATGGTGGTGGGTGCAAGAAGGTGGCAGAGTGGGTGTGTGGAGGGTATGAAGGTCCAATGTGGGTCCAAGTGAGCCAAGTGTGAGGGGTTTGAGGGAGCCGTTTAGAGTATCTTTCTGCAGTACTATGGGGGAGAGGATATGAGCAAGGCAGCCAAGTTTATTTTTGTGGAAAGTTTTTGCAGGCACATGGGCAAAGTTGAGCATTTATTTCTTGTTCAGTCTTGTGTAGGGTATGTGATGGTGATTTGGTTGGTCTTCTAGCTTGACCCAAGCCACTGCAAATGATTGTACCCTTTGTATCATTTGTTTGGTTTGTTGTCACTGATGAATCCCTCCAGTTCTTGTTCTTGACTGTGGATCCAACTTGTTTTCGCAGTGGCAAAATCATGCACACCAACCTGGTTGATGGATTGAAGCTTTTTCGCTTTTTCTTGCATGTTGCATGTTCCATTTTTTCCATGAGAGGTGGGATGCTGTCAGGGCACACCCACCCGACCTGGCTCCACCCACCCTCACCCGGTATCCTGCTCACCTTTATTCCTCACCCCTCATCACTGTTCCTCATTTCTTTTGTCCTTTTGTTCTTTTGTTCTTTCTTCTATCTTTATCTACATGGACAACCTTTCTCCATATCTATGTATTATTGACCCACCTGTGATGTGCACACGACACACCTAGCCCCAGATGACCTGGATGGCCTCATGGTGCAACCCAGCACACACCCTCGGGATCCCCCATGGGGACACCCGGATGACTGTGGCTGTATGCGGGGTGATGTGGCAAACCTCATGTAACCCAAGCCGCATGTACATAAAAGTACCTGGGGTGGGAACTGAAGAAGTAACCTTCTTCTCACGATTCCCACTTCAGTCTGAGTGGCCAGGGACCATCGTCCTGCATCGGGCCTGTCAGTATGCACGCCTGCTCCACACCCCATGAGGGCCTCAGTGCCAGGCGTTACACCTGGGCCCCCTTGACCTGGACGCGTCCCTGACAGCAGAAGAAGGTTTCAACCTTATCTCCTCCACCTCCCCTATCTCCCCAGCCATGGTGTCAGAAGAGCAGTACGACGACCTGCTGGCCCCCTTCCAGGAGCTCCAAGCTATTGTGGAGAGCCAAGCCTGCAACCACCCCCCCACCTGCACCTGCACCCACGCCCACACCTGTACCCACACTCATGCCTAGGCCCAAACCACCGAAGGTTGCTCCCCCCACTCCCTTCTCGGGAGCCAGCAAGGACCTCGACCATTTCAAGGCCAAGTGTGGGATCTACTTCCATGTCCATGCAGCTGAGTTCCCTACTGAGCTATCCCAGATCCTCTTCATCTTCTCCTACATGATGGGAGGACCTGCAGGGGCATGGGCGACACAACGGACAATCACCCTGTTAACAGCTGGCTCCCTGTCAGGGGATGACTCCTGGGTCCCCATGACCCTCCCCTATGGTCCACAGCCCTATGGTGTAACCAGCCCTATCCAGGGCACAACCTACTGTGGGTAAGAAGATGTATAGATAAAGAGGCAAGTAGATACACTTGCCTACTGTGGGTAAGAAGATGAGAAGGAAGCTAACTTCTCATCTTCCCACAGTGGCCACAATATCAGGCAAACTTCCGGGGATACCCAGAAGTCACATGAGGGGGTGGGAACCGGGCCCGGAACATGTGGCGTGCAGGTAGCGCAGTGGGCGGATGCGGGTCCGGATGCGGGTCCGGGTCTGGGCTAGTCAGGGTGTGTGCCCTGACACTCCCCCACCATTACCATGGATGAGTTCAACACGGAACTTGATGCCATGTCCCAGGACCCAAACTGGGAGGCCACAGCCTGGCAGAAGTT